GGGTGCTACCTGGACCAGATGAAGATATACTTCGTTCTGCTCCTTCAAGGTAAGATAGAGGGCGGTTGGAGGGTACTATTGGGGTGATTGTAGGATGCTACCTGGACCAGAAGAAGATACACTGTGTTATACTTCTTTAATGTGAGCTAGAGGATGGTTGGAAGGTGCTACTAGTCAAGGTGACCTAGAGGGTGGTTGGAGGGTGCTACCTGGACCAGATGACCTAGAGGGTGTTGGAGAGTGCTACCTGGACCAGATGAAGATCCACTTGTGATGCTTCTTCAAGGTGAGCTAGAGGGTGGTTGGAGGATGCTACCTGGACCAGATGACCTAGAGGGTGGTTGGAGGGTGCTACCTGGACCAGATGAAGATCCACTTTGTGATGCTTCTTCAAGGTGAGCTAGAGGGTGGTTGGAGGGTGCTACTGGTTGGTCCTGCTTTTGTTTCCAGATGAAGATCCACTTTGTGATGCTCCCTCAAGGTGAGATAGAGGGCGGTTGGAGGGTGCTTTTGGTTAGTCCTACTTTTTTGTCCAGATGAAGATACATGTACACTTTGAGATGCTCTTTCAAGGTAAGCCAGGGGGTGGTTGGAGGGTGCTACCTGGATCAGATGAGCTAGAGGGTGGTTGGAGAGTGCTATCTGGACCAGATGAAGATACACTTCGTTCTGCACCTTCAAGGTAAGATAGAGGGCGGTTGGAGGGTGCTGCCTGGACTAGATGAAAATCCAATTTGTGATGCTCCTTCAAGGTAAGCCAGAGGGCGGTTGGAGGGTGCTACTGGTTGGTCCTGACAGTGAAAAATTGGGCAGGTTTTTTAAATCCTATTCTCAAAAAGTTCAAAGTAAGGAGTTTGCCTAAACCTGTCCGAATTGCGCAGGGATTTTCTCTATCGAGTATTTCTTAGGTTGCGCAAATATTCGACATGGTACCTACTCCCCCCCCCCCTTCCCTCTGTTGTTTCTGTCTGTGTGGGTGGCTGGAGGAGTCCACTGGTAGAACCTACCTCTTTACTTTCCCATCGTTGTTTTTGTCCGTCCCATTGTCTTTTTCCCTGCACTAAATGGCCATTATTGTGTCGATGTATTTCTCCTTGTTCAAACAAACATAAAATTAGAATAGATCTCACTTCTATTCATTCTCCTTTAAATACTGGATCTTTTTGTACACCAACATCACCACTTCCCAATAAGAGCAAAACAATGAAATAAAAAGAAATAAAATAAAATAAAATATAGTAACAATATAATAACAATAAGATAAAATAAAATAAGATAAATAAAATAAAATAAAATAAGATGGAATGAAATGGAAAGAAATAAAGAAAAGAAAAGAAAAGAAACAGACCTGAAAGCCTGCAGCATCTCAAGCAACTGTTACTGCAGGGTGCCTGTAAATGTAATGTAACGGATAAGAACGTTGCTTTAAAAAAAAAAACTAAAAAAAAAAAAATTGGACCATAACTGTTCACTCGATAGAAAAGAGGGGCAGATTTCTCCGTCCCTCGGGTGCCTCGAGCAGTAAGAACGTTGCTTTGCCTGTTGCGCGCAGAAGAGTGAATTCTTATTAACCCTATCCGTACGCCCTAGAGTAATTTTGTACCCCCGGGGTTGTATTCTTCACATTTTAGAATACTTCTAGTGCAAAGATCTTTTTGAAACTTTCAGTATTTCTCAAAAAATCATCTTGAAAGACTGCTATGCAAAGCGTACGGATCGGATTAACGAGTAAATTTCCTCTTTGGAAAGTGGTG